TCCTGCTGGGGGTTATGCTGCTTTAACTATATCATATAGAATATTACACAAACCAGGTGTATAGACTAACCCTAGGAGGAAGGAAGGAAAGCAACTAAAGGTGCTTAGGTCATTAACATAGTAGGACAACAGGGCAGAGGAAGATAAATTTAGATTGCGGACTCTTTAATAGTTTAAGGAGTGGCAAGGTGAGATATGAGAACCTGGCAAGGAGATCAGAACTTACCAGCTTAGTATAATCAGCCTAAATACTGTACTGTGCCTATCATAAGTCAGCCCTACATATAAGTCAACCTTACATTTTGAAGTTCAGTGCTAGAAAAAACAACTTTTTCTCTGAATATAAGTAAATAACTGTAGATAAAAATCTTGGACTTCAGTTTTACTTATAGAATCCCGCAGGAGAATCAGTTGACCAAGGAAAGAAGCCCAAAGGTTACATGCACTGAAATTACTTAAAAAAAACCTTCACTAAAAATTTCTGACTCTGTATTTTAATTATATGTACAAAAATACTGAAATACAGAAGTTAATGCTATAGGGAGCCTGATAATATACCTGCATATAAACTGACTACAGAAATTTTAACAATTCGTTTGAAGGAAATAGTAGTAGACTTATTATCATTATATAGTAATACAGTTTGTTATTGAACAATGGGTTAAGAACAAAGATAGTAGTATAATAATACTCCTTAGTGTGCAGGAATTCATTGTTAGACAGCTCATCAAATAAAGCATTTTCATCTAAAATAGTGGGCTAAAAATGCGTTCCCTTTAAACAGATTGATTGTGTATTCTATAGTGCTTTCAAATGCATTTTGTAGTTAGCTGAACTAAAATATTAATTCCAGTAGTTCAGAAGGTCACCTCTTCGGGAAGTGAATCTGTTCACTTGTTCCCTGGAGTGTACATATTTTTAGTAAATAGAAATAATGTCAGTTTGTAATGTTGTATTTTAGCAGTATAATATCACTGTGATCTAGGGATTTCCCTCAATCTAAGATGAGACAATATTTGTTGGATACATCATTTGCTGTTAAGGACTTCAGTCTCTTTGACAAGCTCTGTCAGGTATAAACAAATTTGTTTAGGGCCTAGCACTGGGCAACCAAAATGCAGCGTTTGACAATAACTGATGAACAGATTCTTTTAGCAGACTTCATTAGATTAATAACATTATAAAACTTAGGAGGCCAGAACTTAATCCCTGTTTATGCAGTCTACTTGGAAAGTCTGTGCAGATTTGTTTTTTTCTTTAAGCCAATGCTAGTACTATATTTTCCTTTTAACAATAATAAATCAATGACAGCTGCCTGTTACTCATGAGCAGCTCTGTTAAAGCAAACTGGTATGCATTCATGAGAGAGGAAATTACCATAATATAAAATTACTCCCCCCAGACATATTCTATATATTTAAAAAATGATAAATTTGTTATAAATTTCCATGTGTATAATCTAATTATCGGATGGTTGTCTTGAATTTGTCCCCCTTCCACTACTACAGCAAAGAAAATAGTGACAGTGGGGAGGGAGGGTGTTGAAGTAGCCCCTTTGCCCTCTGCCCCCGCCCCCACTTTTTCCCCTTGCCCCTACTACTGTCAGAGTTCTGTTCCCTCCCTGAGCACAATGTGGAAGTGAGCTGCATGTGACAATAAGTAAGAGGTGGGGAAAAGGATAGAGGGGAGGGCTGAAGTTGTAGAAAGCAAACAGATAAGGGCAGAAGACTGCTGTGGGTCTGACTCTGAGCCCAACCCTGAATGCTCCAAGTTTCAGCATAGGTATTTCATAAACTCTTTTGACCACCACTTTTGCACCTTCTTTTACATAGTACAAACTGTGCATGATATTAATTTAGAGCCAAAAGTCTCGTGACTTATCATATAGTTTATTGGGCTGGCCCCAGCCAAGTCAACAGCATTTCAGGCCATAGTGACCCCACAACCCAGCACTGCTCAGTACATGACCCTACACCAAGTAACCCCCACAAAAGATCCATATGCTAATTAGCCCCCCAATCACAACTGGAACTGGGTGTTCTTGTTTTAAGTCCTGGTACCCTCCAAAAATGCATATGCAGAAAAGGTGCAGGGCTCTCTGGTACTATCTCCACCCCATAGATGGCAGGGCCACAGCCTCTCAGCTGCATAGAAGTTTGGTGAAGTTTGCCAAGCATTTAAGGCTTGTGAAGAAACAGGAATCATTGGAAATGAGAAAGAAAGGTACTACTTGCCTATGGGAGCTAAGAGGAAGTCGAAAGCATATGGTATGTGATATGGAAGTGTTAATTCACCAGTTTTGCATGGTATTATGGAAAGCAAGAAACTTACTAGTCTTGCAACAACTAGAACTGTCTGTAGAAGATACCTTGTGTTTGGGCTTGAATAAAATGGGGTGGTATTGCTAACGGGACACAAGAGAACTAGGTAAGGAGTAGGCGATGTATTTATGGAAAAGAGAAGAATGGAGATACCTAGTAGGTCTAGGAGGATGAAAAGATGATGAGGCTTGAGAGGCAGTAGAGTTATGGCCACAGGCCAAGGGTTGGTTAGGAAACAGGCATGATAGGGACAAGACAAGACAGGATGACAGGTGATAAGCTTTAATAGGTGATCCTGGAAGGCATCAGGGAATAATGTGATATTAAGAAACAAAAGTGTCCAGGGAATTTGGGGAAGGAGGGAATCGTTGGATAATATAAAAATGTTCTATTGTTTTGTTGGTCTTATTTGCTGAAGTTTTGGAAACTGGTGAAAGCATGTTTTAAGTTTTGACATCTTATTGTTCCACTTCTTAGTTGATGTGGTTTTTGTAATGCAATGTAAGCTGATGGAAGGAGGTTTTAAGTTTTGATATTTTTGTAACACGTAAGTAAAAAGTTCCCATCAGTGTGATTTTTTTCCAATATGGGCCAGGTGTTATATGGGCATGCTCAGTATGGGCTGCATTCAGTCAATTTCATAGTTGGTTTCCATGACTCAGCATTTGCTACTTATAGCTGCAGTTTAATAATAGCCAAATGCATTTAATGGGAAAGTTTGCTGGTATGTGAAACCTCGTCTTATATTTGAGTAAATACAGTATATTCTGGAAGGAAATTGATTTTAAAATGGTGCTTCCTGGATGTTATAACAGGAATTTAGATTCAGTGCCTGGTTTTGAAAGCCACATGCTTAAGGTCCAACCAGCCAGTGAAGGGGAAAGCTAAAACGAAGGGAAGAAGGTTAAACTAGATTAGAGAGTTCCTTTATGCAATCTCTATGGATTGGCTGGGGGCTTGCTGAGTGAGGGTCACATCTTCCATTAGCTAGATATTCCTAAAACTTCAGCTACGTGTTTTAAGTTCCTACCTTCCCATCAGAAGTTCCACTTGTGTAGAGGAAGTGGTCTTGGGTGCTGAGCACACAGTCTTTCAGCTACTCAAGGGAAATCGTTAATACTATACTGTTCTCTTATCTATGTACCTCCCCCTTTTCACCCACCCCTTTACCTAAGATAGGTTAAGGAGGCAGAGCGTCTCGGATAATGCTTTACTCCAAGCTAGCTGGGACTGACTAAGCAGCAGGTTTTAATGTTACCATGTCAATTGAAACAGCAGTGTTAAGTTAGAAAAGAGGCATAAATACCAACTTATAAAATAGAGGTTCTCAGCATTTTGAGACTCAGCGTATCCCTTGGAAAATGCCAGCTCTTAACTTTCTCTTGTTTTTTGATTACAGAAAAATAATAGAATAACTTTTTCATTGTAAAGAACTCAAGGCCACAATATGGGGTTTTTTGAGTTCCTATTTGAAATCTCTGGATTTATTTTGTGAATCATGTGTAAGTGTTTACTCACCTAATAATGCTAATAATCAGTGTCAGTTGATGGCACCCTTAAGGGGATCTCCTGCACCCCATGGCACTCTGGTTACGATTCACTGTTCTAGAGAATGCAGGAAAAACAGAGGAAGAGAGCTTGCTCTCTTTGCTGCTAAATCTTCTTGGCCCTCTTCTGTTAAGCATACACATTGTAAGAGAACAGAAATTGTTAAGAGCGTAGTGCAAAGGTTTCTGGGGCAGAGAAACAAAGCAGGAAGAAACATAATGCTTTATGGCTGCTTGCAAATGTTAAAATAAAATTCAAAAAACACTTACATTTAAACTCGGCGCATTCCCATGCCGAGCCCAGCGCACGTCCAGAAGAAGCAGTGCCTTAGTTGGACCCAGCTCTGCAACATCAGTATAGATCAGGGGCTTTATTGGTGTTTTTATCTCAGGGGCGGGCAATTATTTCAGGCGGAGGACCGCTTACTGAGTTTGGGCAAACCATTGAGGGCCACATGATAGGCAGCCAGGGGCAGATAAATATTAATTTTCTAAATTTTTAAGGGCCCTGCGGGCTGGATAGAATGGCCTGGTGGGCTGTATCTGGCCCACGGGCCACATTTTGCCCACCCCTGTTTTATCTAATAGCTGACACAATCAGCTTTAGCTAAAAGCACCGAAAAACCCTGTGGAAGCACCCGATCTATGCAGTTTCTGCAGACCCGAGCCGAAATAATGTGCTACTGTTTCTGGTAAAGCGTGTTTTTTTTGTTGTGTTTTTTTAATATTTGCATGCAGCCTATGTGTATTTCCTTCCCTTTGCCATTTGTAGACTTCCCTTTGCCATTTGTAGAAGGCTGTAGGAGAAATTCCCCTTTATCAACTGTCTACCCACACTTTTCTTAAAGTGAACACAAGCCAGTAAAACATTCTTAACACAAAACATTGTGAAATTCTTTTAGTCCATGTGGTTCTAAATTTGCACTCTTTTTGTATCATAGTTGAACTTAATTTAAATATGCTCTAAGTTATTGAACTTCTGATTTGCTCGTTTACACTTTCAGTTGTTAAAATGAACCACAATATTCTATTTGATTGCTAGAGTTTGCAATAATCCTTCAAAAACATTAATTACATTTACTATATTTTAAGGTAAACAAAATCATATGCTTGCACATTATTTTAGTCTTATGTGGGACTAAAAGATAATGCTGGTCACCCAAAGTCTACAAAGATCTAGGATTATAATTATGACTGCTGAGTGCATTATGAAAGGAATGAGTTCATTCTCCCAAGGGAAGAAAGAGAACAGGTAGTAAAAGGACTAAGGAAGTTAACAAAGACAGATGTAACCTGTTTAAAGAGTGTGGGCTTTCTGGCAAAGCCAAAGGACAGTTTAATAAACTTGTTTTGTTTTGCTTTTATTTATTGCCCTCTTTTAGCCGCAAGGCGGAAGATAAATGAAGAATTTAGAAATAATCAAGGCGAGACATCTTCTGAGAAAATAGAGGAGGTAATTTCATTTTGATGTTCATCCCTGCTTTGTCTAACAATATTTTGCATGTACATAACAGTTTCTTCCCTGAAGAACATTTGTTCACCAGAGCGCCCCAAGGGATGACGAGGTTGAATGGTCACAAACTACTTCAAGATCGTTTCAGGCTGGACATAAGGAAGAATTTCTTTACTGTCCAAGCCCCCAAGGTCTGGAACAGCCTGCCACTGGAGGTGGTTCAAGCGCCTTCATTGAACACCTTCAAGATGAAACTGGATGCTTATCTTGCTGGGATCCTATGACCCCAGCTGACTTCCTGCCCTTTGGGCTGGGGGCTGGACTCGATGATCTTCCGAGGTCCCTTCCAGCCCTGATGTCTATGAAATCTATGAAATCTATGAAACTCAAAGCAGTTTGTGCACCCTAATTGAGCTACATATTCCAAACTGTTAATTTAGTGAAACTTTTATATGTATTTTTTGTGTGAATGTGCCTTAATACTTATTTTATGTAAATGGTATTTGCCACATATAATATGCAATAAGTGGTTTTTCACATTTATAATTTAAGGCAGAGATTCTCAACTAAGGTTCTGCAGCCTCCTGGGGTGCCTTAAGATCCTTTCAAAGGTTCTGCAGGACGCAATGCAACGTTACCAGTATTATGTGTGCAAACATAATTTGTAAGATAAATTCAGAGATTTCAAAAAGGAATCTATAGTGTTTAAAAACATTCTGATCTGGTATCTTGGTGAATTCTATGCATCAACAAAAAAAAATTCTGTTATTTTCTGTCATCAAAAATGAATGAAAACTAAGAGCTGTCATTTTCTGAGGGGTGACCTAAGTCTAAAAAATTTGAGAACTACTGATTTAAAGGCATTTTTATTTAAAGTACCTCTTTTCAATTTTTTAACCAAATTAGTTTTTTTTCAAATTGTTGCTCATTTTTTCTCCAAACATTCCAGTTGCAATTGGCAAGCTTAAAATTATGAATAAATCTATTGCTGAATTTTCTTGCATACGGGCACAACTCCCTCCACTCCCCCAGCTCTTGTTAATCAGGGAAGCTGATTTTCTGCCTGTGGTATTACTACTATTTAGGTAGCTGAGGGAGTCAGTTGACTTAATGGCTCATTCTTCTCCAAAGGTGTTAATGACCGGCTCCTTTTTTTCCTTGATGTTTCACTGATCAAGCTAATGTTTTTATAACAAATTTGCTGTCTGTTAGTGGCTTCTGATCTCTCTCCTTCTATTTCACAGGATGGGTCAGATGAAGATTGGGCTGTCCCTGCTCTATGCAGGCATAACTCTAGAAAAATGTATTAATTTTGTCTTTCAAAAAGGAGGTGTGAATTATATTCCAGGGTGTGTTGTATGTGAGAAAATATTATATATCCATTCTCTAGGATGGGTAAACCAGGACACGGAGGTTAAGTGACTAGCCCAAAGGGATTGTCAGAGCTAAGGCTTAGTTAGTAATTCTGGTTCTTGATTCTGCAATAAACAGATCCCCTCCCCTTAATCAAATGTTTATGACTGAGTTGTTCATATAGATATATTAGTCATCCCAACTATGTTTTTGTCCCTCTTTTTTGATGGTATATTAAGGCACTTAAGGGGCAAGAAAAAAATCTGTTAACTCGCATAGAATTCAAACACTCCTACCCGTTATGTAAAATGCATTCACCAAGGAGCCTACTTAACAGTAAGATTATGAATGTACTGAGGCCTGAAAGTACAGTATAAGTATACAGTTGAAATAATATTAAATAGAGAGTGTTTGTTTTAACATGGTCTTCACCATTCCCATTCAGTAAAATCTTGTTAAAAATGTTGCACACACCTGTGATTTCTCTCCTGAGTTCATGAGGGGACATGGGAAGAAAAATAACACCTATCTTTAGATGTGTTTTGCAGGACGAAGTGAGCCAGGGCAATTGATTCAGTGTTTTGCATCATACCACCCATTGGACACTGACGTTAACACTTCTGAGCATTCAGTCCAGGCTGTCAAGCATGTCTGCTAGTTGCCAGGCAACTACAGCGCTAGGCATTGCATTTTGTTATGTTTTCAGTTGTTAATATAATAATATAACATTACTATAATTATTGATATGCAGGTAAAAATACATAGCAAAATTGTGACATCTCTACTTTGTTTCTTAGTGGTGATCTAATAGATTGGGGGTGTGTTTAATATTCTTTTTCCCCACTAGTTAATTGGGATATTTGAATGAATAGTCAGTGGCGAAAAAATTCTAGGTCTCCGCTAAAACCATCATGATTATCTAGTGCAGTGGTTTTCAACCTGTGGTCTGTAGACCCCTGGGGCCCACAGAACATGTCTAAGAGGTCTGTGAAAGATGTCTATATTCAATCAAAAGTATGTGAATACCCACACTTACATTTCAAAGGGGTTCACACCTCCATTTGAAATTTCCAAAGGGGTCCACACTTCCATTCAAAATTTTTTTTGTGTCCACAAGTGAAAACAGGTTGAAAACCACTGTTCTAGTGCAATGTAAGCCTCTTACCTCTATTAACTATTGTAAATAAGCTGCAGTAATGAACCAAAAACTGATCTACAGATATGCAACCAGTATTTTCAACATTGCTGATATCTCAGCAGCTCAGAACCTCTGGAAATCAAACCCACCTGTCTGCGCTTAAAAGTAGATTTTGGCTGTCTGGCATTAGACATTCATTTTTCAAAATATTGAGTATCCATGTCTGAGTTACTTCATTAACTATAAGTATAAAATGCAGTAAGTGTTTTTTAGCATGTGCAACATTAAAGAAGTGTTTAAAAGTGAGGAGAAGCCACCCAAAAGATTTTGGAATGTAGGGAGTTCTGTTTGTCCAACAGTTCTCAATTTTGCAGCTGCGTGCCTTGGTTCCAGGCAAACAGATAAGTACTAGCCACTCACTCAAGAGCCGTTGGTTGGAAAGAGCACACGTGTGGATCTCTTTCATATTTCTCATGGAGAGAAGAGGAATTTCAGGACTTATACCCAAAACCCTAATGCTAACTGTTGGAGAGAGAGAGCAGTTCCCCAATTCTCAACTACACCTGCTGCTTTATAATCCATGTCCTGCAACATCTTAAGCCTGCTGACCCCTACTCCTCCTGACATGTATTTGACTCTTCTACACCTCCTTCATTAGAGAGCAAAATCATGAAGGAACAGACAACCTGATGCCATTAAAGATCACTAGGCACTTTTGTAAGATCTTTACCTGATGTCCAGGATAATTGGACACCATTTAAAATATACTTACTTGGTAATCATTCTCCCTGTCTAAATAATCAATTGAAATTTTAGGAAGATACTGTACTGCTCTGTGTCTACGGTTCTTGTTTCATCCTAAAGGGGCTGTAGGTCAGGGTGACCTATATTAATTTGAAAACCATTTTAAGAGCATCCAGGAGAAAAGGTATTCAATTTAAGATGGGGGGAGCATTAAATTATTTTTTGGAAGGCCATTTTCAGTATTTTTCTATATTTGCCAACATGGAAAATGTATGCAGAACCAATACTTCAGTATTAGAACTGCCCTGCTTTGTTTTGTTTTTCTTCAACAGCTAATGAAAATAGGTTTGGATGTTGAAGTTATACTGAGAACTTCTGTTATTCAGGGAGTTCACACAGGTCCTGACAGATTGTGTAAGTAAATCTGCATGCTTTCTCTTTTTTAAGGTGTGTGCTTTACTAAACTTTACTAACACAACCTAAAATATGCCTCTGTGTAAGTGTATATTTCCTTGTGTGTTTTGGGTTTTTTTGTTCTCTTTTAGTGTTGTATGTTTGTTGTTTATGCTACAGCTCTCTAACTGGTGTATTTGACTCCAAGTAATAAAGCAGGGCATGCATAATTTTTATTTCCCCTCCTTTGTGTAATAAACAGAAATATTCTACTTTTAACAAGCTCTTTGTCCTTTTTGTATGAACTACCTTGATGCCTCACCATACATTGATATTAAGGGTGTCACCTTGGAATCTCTAACCAGCTAATGATTCAAATCATATATTCATTTTATTTGAATCTAAGTTTTGCTTTATACTACACTGTATTTAACAGATCTGATTGCATTACCTTAACTTTAAAATCTTATTTTGGCATTATTGCTTATCAAAGTGCTAGTGAAGTTTATTTGAATATACTAACGTGTGTATCATGGCAATGTTTAATGGACTGAGAATTTTTTTAATATCCTGTAGCCAAGTATCAAGTTTTAGTCTATAATTCTTTTCAAGAGCATAAAGTATTGGGCATTTCTAGATCTTTCTTCTGCTGTTCTTTTGCTTTTGGCTTCTCAGTAAACATAGGGATTATTTAGAGAAAAGAAAAAGGCATTATATTAAAGGTTTACAATATAATTCATAGATTAATAAAGAAGAGTGAGTACTCCTACTTACATGTTCTCATAATACAAGAGCAAAAGAACTTTCAGTGAAGTTGGAAGTAATTTTAAAACTGATAAAAAGAAATTCACTTTTAATATGCACAATACACAACTTGTGGAACTCACTGCCACAAAGCATCTTTGAGGTCAGGAGCTTGGTATTGGGGGGGGGGGGAAAAAGGGTATTCCTCTAGATAATTAAAACATCCAGGTTACTTTAGGTAGGATATAGGCAAAGCATTTCAGAGGGGATAGACAGACTCTTGTAATTCCTGTTAATCAGCCAATTGCTCAGTGCGTGAGGTTAGAAGACTTCCTCTGTGAACAGGTTATTTCTTGAATATTCGTTAACAAGTTAGTTTGCACCTTTCCTAAAGGGATTTGATGTTGATTACTCCCTGCTGAACTAGAATTGGACAAACAAAATGGTTATGCTGACATAATCTGGGTTATACAGGTGTAATTGGGGTGTAGAAGGACAACATAAATGTCTACATCAGTGTTACTCACTCAAATTCAGTGTGAAGGTAGCTTGGAAAAATCTTGGCAAAGCTTTTTATCCTAAATTATGCTGCAGTAGGAGTTGTCTGTTCACTCCTATCCAGAGGTATCTGTTTGCTCAGTGCAAACAGGCTGTTATCTGCTCCCCTGCTACCTGATGGCAAGGCATTGTAATACTACATAGCATGAGCAGCTGCTCCGGAATAGCAGCTCCTTTGTCTACTTTAGATCCCATTGGGCAAATCTACACATACGTATTAATGCACAGCAATACATTCCAGGGCATGTTGCACTGGATTTAATTGCTCCCAGGTGCACCTTTACACATGTGCCCAGGACCGTAGCACATTGAGCTGGGTTGGAGCAGCCCCAGCTGGCAGGGGCATAGGGAGCGAGGGTCAGCCCGCCAGCCCTAGGCTGCTCCTGTGCAGCTCAACGTGCTGCAGAGGGGCTGGCTAAGGTGCGAGGGAGCTCTAGTACAGAGCAAGTTTGCAGGCAGCCCCCACACTGAAGCACGTACATTCATGCCCCAGCCAGCCGCATTGGAGTCTACCTGTGCGGTGCTGCAGAGTGAAAAACTTTGCAACAGGACAGCATTTGTATTTGTAAGTACTGCCATGCTGAGAAGTTTGTTAATTTACTCCTTCCTAATAGCCCTGGGCATGTAGACATTGAGACATTTACTGCAGAGCTAATTAAGCAACTGCAGTAAATATCTCATGTAGATGTTCCCAGTGTAATCTATATAGGCATAATATACCAACGTAAAAACAATTAGATGGAACTAGCATATAGCACTTACTGGGCATGTCTACATATGCTTTAAGATGATTTTTCTAATGTGCATTAAATTTAATACCTACAGTGCGAGGTGCTTTAATGCGCAGTAATGAATATGCAGTTTTTAAGTGATGCTTAATGCACAGTAGCCTATTTTACTGCACGTTAGCATAATTGCATGGTTTATTTATGTGATGCTTTAATGTGCAGTAAAAAAGGCTAATGTGCCAACTGTGTTCATAATGTCATTGGTACTACTTGGTACACCGCGTTAAAAAAATGTATGAAACTGTTCCATTATCATGAATATTTTCTCTCGGAGAGAGGGATAAAAAGATACATTTGTGGATTTGGGACTGGATTTTGACAGCTGCCTTCATATATTGTCCACAATGGGTGCAGAATGGTCTATTTAGCATACAAAATTGTACTTGTATGTGGCTTTTGCTGTCAGAGATTTTCTATGCTTTTTACCACTGCTGTTTTCTGAAGGTCTGCTCTGCTTTTTTGCCTGCCCAGAATAGTCTTTTCTTTGAATAAATACAGTGTATGAGATGTGCAGAAAATGGGGTTTTTTCCAGTTGGACCTGTATAGAAACAATGGTAATAGTATTTTGGGTAGGCAGGAAGATGGTTTCTGCTCATTTGTTAACTTACATCTAAGTTTACATGCAGCAGGTCTGCATAACAGTGGTGGTTAAAATACCAGCATCTAGTGGTACCTTATCTGCTTGGACACAGCTGCTCTTGCTGCCGCTAATGAAGCTGAATCTCTTGTAGGAGAAGTCTTATGTAGGCAAAGCCCATGTGGATGTAGGGAACCACCTAAATTAGAAGAGAGCGGTAGAACATTTGCTAGTTTGTCTTATTGAAGATAGGTTAGTTACAACTAATCTTCCCAGCCTTGTTTTACATCTCTTGTCAAGATCAGTTTGAAACTGATTTTTGTAAAACAGATAGACATTTTTATATTTGGCCATTTGGTAAGAGATGCAGATTACTTTCTGCTTTTTGTACTATTAATGTAAATTGCCTTGTAAAAGAATATTCTTTCAGTTTTTTAGGGTCTTTGTGATGAATTTTTGGTTTTGAAACTCTATGAAAGTTTGCTGTCTGATTTAAACTTTATTGGTGTTCTTGTAGAAGAATACAAACTTCTATAAAAAAACATTTGAATTTTGGGCCAAATTTAACTTGATGGCATCACTTTATAAGTTGTAATTTGTTCGGGAGTAAGTTAAGTTATTTACTGAAGATACTTCTTGTCTGAGGGCCAAAAAAGCAAGGTCAAATATCTATATTAGAAGCACTTTAAATTAAATACTATCACTGTTAGGGCAGTGTGAAACACCATTGTTTCATTTCAATGTCCATTTCACTGTTTTGAAGGGACAGTGTTTCGTCTCGTCTTTTCATTTCATTTCATTTCGAAGCACTGTCCTATTTCATTTCGTCAAACTATAGGCCAGTCAGGAAACTATAGGCCAATCAGTCTTACCTCAGTCCTGGGTAAGCTTTTTGAGAGAGTTATCCTGGCGCATGTCCACGAGGGGCCAGCAGGGGAGATTATGCTTAGGGGCAACCAACACGGGTTCTTTAGAGGCAGATCCTGTCAGACCAACCTGGTGGCCTTCTATGACCAGGTCACAAAAGCCTTAGACGCAGGTGTAGTAGTGAACATAGTCTTTCTGGACTTTAGGAAGGCCTTCGACACTGTCTCTCACCCCATTCTCATTAAAAAACTAGGGGACTGTGGTGTTGACACCTACACAGTCAAATGGGTCACTAGTTAGCTGGAGGGCCGCACCCAGAGAGTGGTGGTGGACAGGTCATTTTCGACCTGGAGGCATGTGGGCAGTGGGGTTCCGCAGGGCTCGGTCCTCAGGCCCGCACTGTTCAACATCTTCATCAGCGACTTGGACAGGGGTGTAAAAAGCACCCTGTTCAAATTCGCAGATGACACTAAGAAGTGGGCACACTAGAAGGGAGGAATAGGCTGCAGTCAGACCTAGACAGGTTACAGGGGTGGGTGGATGAGAACAGAATAGGTTTCAACGCTGACAAGTGCAAGGTACTGCACCTGGGGAGGAAGAACCAGCAGCATACCTACAGGCTGGGCAACTCCCTTCTCATCAGTGCAGAGGCAGAAAAGGAACTTGGAGTCATTATTGATGCCAAAATGAATATGGGCCGACAGTGTAGGGACACGGTCAGGAAGGCCAACCATACCTTGTCATGGACAGGGTGGAGCAGCAGGCATTGGGGGAGTCCCTGTTCCCCCAAGTACTACCAGGAATGACAAGAAATAACGCTCACAAGCTGGCAGAGGGGAGATTTAGGTTAGACATCAGGAGGTGCTACTTCACTGTCAGGGTGGCTAGGATCTGGAACCAACTTCCAAGAGAAGTGATGCTGGCTCCTACCTTGGGGGTCTTTAAGAGGAGGCTGGATGAACACCTTGCCGGGGTCGTTTGACCCCAGTACTCTTTCCTGCCATGGCAGGGGGGTGGACTTGATGATCTGCTCAGGTCCCTTCCGACCCTACCAGCTATGAAACTATGAAAACTGTTTCGCTGTGTCAACGAGTTACACTGTTTCGCCCATAGGCTATAATGGGGGGCTATAATGAAAATGCCTAAAACTTTGTCATTTCTTGCCCGATTTGGATGAACATTGCAGTGATGGTAGCCCCTTCTGAGGGCATGAAGCCCGCCAAGTTTCAAGGAGATAAATGCAGAGGTTTCTGAGAAACTGCCCCTCAAAGTGGTCAAACCAAAAGTCCTGACACTTGCCAGCAGTGGCAGTCTCCTCATCTGCCGCGCAGATCTGGGAGCTCACAATCCTATGCAGGGCCTATGCTGGCCTCCTCCCAGGGCTGTTGGCCACCGGACCTGCGCGCCAGATGAAAGGAGGTGGAGGCTGCCACTGCCACCTGGGACTGGGCACAGCCTGCGCAGACCACTGGAGAAGATTGCTGCTGCCGCCTGAGGCTCCTCTTATCCAGCCCAGATCCAGGGGATTGCACCCCCAGGAGGAGTCCGGCACAGCCTGGCAGCCCTCTTGGGGGTGTGAGCCCCCGGATCTGCGTCCGAATTAGAGGAAGCTCAGCCTGCTTGTCCCACCTGGGACAAGCACCCCCCCACCAATGTTTGCCTCCCCCCCCAGCTCCAGCCCCTCCACAGCTTGCCAGCATCAGCAGCTGTGCTCTTGGTCCCCTGCACAGTGGGGGGGCAGCGTGGCTCAGCCCTAGCCCCCAGGTATCCACCGCCTCTGCCACAGCACGCTGCTGCTGCCCGGCTTGGCGTGGCATGGCACAGACCCACGTGCTTTCAGGCAGCTCTGGGCTGTTGCCCAGGTCTTCCCACCACTCGCGGGGACCACCAGCCCGGGTCCTGCATACATGAGCCCTGTGCGCCACTTCTGTGCACGCAGGACATTGCCCAGTGTGGCTGGTGGTCCCTGTGAGTGGCACGCAGCCCCGAGTGACTGCTCAGAGCTTCCCAAAAGCACACAGTCCCACACTGCACCGTGGCGAGCTGGGTAGCGGCAGCATGCTGTGACAGAGGCGGTGGACACCTGGCAGTTCATAGATTTCATAGACATTAGGGCTGGAAGGGACCTCGGAAGATCATCGAGTCCAGCCCCCTGCCCAAAGGGCAGGAAGTCAGCTGGGGTCACAGGATCCCAGCAAGATAAGCATCCAGTTTGCTCTTGAAGGTGTTCAGTGTAGGCGCTTGAACCACCTCCAGTGGCAGGCTGTTCCAGACCTTGGGGGCTCGGACAGTAAAGAAGTTCTTCCTTATGTCCAGCCTGAAACGATCTTGAAGTAGTTTGTGACCATTCGACGTCGTCATTCCTTGGGGCGCTCTGGTGAACAAACGTTCCCCCAGATGCTGGTGGTCACCCCTGATAAACTTGTAGGGGGCCATCAGATCACCCCTGAGCCTGCGCTTTTCCAGGCTAAAGAGCCCCAGGGCTCTCAGCCTGTCATCGTAGGGTCTGCTTCCCTGACCTCTGATCATGCACATGGCTCTTCTCTGGCCCTCTCAAGCTTCCTCCACATCCTTTTTGAATTGTGGAGCCCAAAACTGGACACAGTACTCCAGCTGCGGCCTCACTAAGGCCGAGTACAGGGGGAGAATGACGTCCCGAGATTTGCTTGAG